CCTGAAGACAACGTTGAAAAACGTTGAAGTTTAGCCGCATATTTACGTTACACAAATGGCTGCAGCCATTATTCAGTTAGTCAGTCAGTCACTCAGTCAGTCAGTCAGTCAGTTAGTCAGTCAGTCAGTCAGTTAGTCGGTCAGTCAGCTAATCATCATGACGACTTTTTTACGCCTGATGAGTTTTTCCAAACAATTTTTTTATTTTCAAATTTTTTTTCTTTTTATTAACCTAAGAATACATAAAATTTACAGCTTTATAGCTTTAAATATAACAGAACAAATATGCTGAAAAGAAAAAGAGGATGAGACGAATAAACAAGAATCTATTGATTGAATTTTTGAGGCATAAAAATGTAAGAAAAACTGTTGAAATTTTTCAACCATTAAAATTATTCTCTTTTGTTTGTTTAGAATTTTTGGTCAAAAAAAATCTTTTTTTAAATATATTCTTAATTAACAATATTTTGGCAATTAAATTTCTTGCCATAATTCCATCTTTGTATTCCTTATTTATCTGCTTATCATTGAACATTGTTTTACAACTTATGTCCTTTAGCTGCGAAGTTTGCTCTGTTCTTTCCGTCATCTGACACCTCATTTTTCGTCATTGAATTAGAAATAATCATTAGTAATAATAACTAAGCAATAACCCTTTTTTTTTCTTTTTTTTTTGTCTTTTCTTTGCTTTTGCCTTTCTTAAGCTTTTAATTTTTTCCTTTATGCAATTCTGTCTAATACTTAAACTAACTTAACCAGACAGCTAGACGATAGAAAATGTTGAACAATTCTGTTAGCTGATGGTTCTATTGATCAATCGTCGATACATTGATTTGTTTGTACTGTTCTGCAAAAATTATAAACACAGATTTATACATCTGTACGCCATTTTGACTCAATATCTTTTATTCAGTGCGATGTTTTCTTAGTTTTTTTAAAAGCTTTAGACAAGTAACATTGACTCAGTGCAGTAATAAGGTCTAAAATTTTTGACTTATATCTAAGCTGCTAGTTTACTGCAATCATCAAATCAACAGAGCTGAATTTTTATCGATAGTCTTCTGGACAGTGATATTAAACTATTCGATCTTTTGGTGTCTTGCAAAAAACAGTTCTAACATCATTATCGTTAAATGTTTGATATTTAAAGATTTGATAATTTCACCCCAAGAAACCACTGATGTTTTTTTTGCTCACTTTATTACCCAATTTTCTTCTGCTTTTTTTTTTCTTTTTTTTTGCCGAAGCTTTTTACCTACGCTAAAGTAAAAGTAAAGAGGAAAAAAAATTGACAGAAAGAAGTAAATAAAAATGGCCACTATATTCGATATGACTCGGCGGGTGACAATGCATGATACAAGTCTTGAAGCTAATTTAAAAGACAGATTGGGAGAAAAGGAGAAACAGCCATCACCAGTAAGGACAACTGTTGTTGAAAATGTTAGTAAGATATGTTCACTTCTTACAGTTATTATTATTGTTATTATTATTATTATTATTATAACTAATTTTTATTACCATTATTGTCGCCATAAATTTGTTTTATAGTACACTGGTAGAGTAGACTAATGAACAAATAGAAAGATAGATAGAGCATTAGTTTAGATACATCTGTAGCATCAATCATTTTCCACTTAAAATTTTTGCCCAAAACAATTACTTGTATAACACACTGTAAATAGTCTATCTTCATAAATAAATTCTTCTTTTTTCTTCTTCTACTACCTTCTAAAAAAACTGTATAAACATGTTTATATCTACGCATTTATATATCTAGATAATCTTATTTAAGCACCTTGAAGCCATAAAATACAGATTAAATTTATAACAAATCTTTTGTTATAAATTTACTTACTCAACTACTCAAACAAATAAAAAAGAAGTAAACAGTATTCAGTAGCAGTAATTTCTTTCTTTTGACTTAAAATTTTAGCAATTTAATTAAACAGATAAATTTTACCGCTATTAATGCTGCAAAAAAAAAGCGATAATATTAACAGTGATTAAAATGATAGTTAAGAAGTCGTCAAATGAATGTTGCATATTGGATCAAAATAATTTATTCATCAATAATTCATACACTTTTTTTGTCCTAAATTTTTTTTTTCTTTTTGTAAAACGATTTCAGATATTGTCTTTTGTGTCTTTTTTTTTCTATTATCTGTATCTGAAAACTTTGTCTTAACAATAGATGATAAACTTTTTTTTCTATAATAGTTGTAGCAGTGTAAAATGGCTTAGTAAAGCTTGCTGAACAGCCAAAATTTTGTGTGAAAATTAATTTTTCGCTACAAATTTCCTTATTTTTTAAACGTATAGCAATTATTTAAGAAAATTGTAAACAAAGAAGAGATCAGTACTGAGAAGAGCGAAAAATTGGGACAGTCAAAAATGATACTTTTTTGGTTATTATCTGATAGTAAAAATTTGATCTCGGCTTTCAACAAAAAATCTTTTTTTTTAATCGCTTTTTTCAATTGAACAACTAAATTTGTCATTTCTTCTTATCTGATTTAACCACTTAACTTTTTTTCAATTTTGTTTTTTTTTTCTTCATTTTTTTTTT